CACGGGTCCTTCTGCAACAGGGGGTCCCACTATGCCGGCGAGACACTAGGAGAGCAGTCCAGCTCCAAGCCAGCCCACGCCCCCCCCACCCCCACCTCCACCTCCAGCCAACTGGTGAAAATCCCCCTAAACCAACTCAAACTCCTGCAGATCCGGCCTGAGAATGTCTCTGTTATTCTAACAGACCTTCAAATGCATGAGTCATGATCAGGGACATTTCATTGACAGGAGATGAAGGTGCATCTCCCTCATCACAAGCAGGAAAACCAAACAAACCCCTGGTGAGTGTTCTCAAAACCCTGATATCCTTGGGGCTGAAAACATAAAATCCTATTTAATTTGAGATAAATGCGTCAGAGTTTTGTGAAACTGATTTGGGCCACGAGCAGAGCTGATGGCGAAACTGGCCCAGGATCAGCTCTGCAGTGGCCCAGTCAAAGAAGCCATCCACACGACGGTCTAATTATGTCTCTTTCATCTTCCATGTCAGTTTGTATTTTTCTCTCCGTCATGAAAATGTGTCACGTTATATCACACCATGAAATGAGAACATGATAATAAGATCCTATCAGGGTGTCATGATCTTTAATGTTTATATTGTCAACGTCACTGGGACATACACTTATGTTGCTGCTTGCACTTATTTGATGAAATGTACTGATTTCCTCACAATCGTGTCATATTGCTTTCCTCTCAACACGTTATGCAATGACTAAGTTATTCTTATTTTACAGTGAATTTATTGACATTCTTAACAATGTTTACATTTTTCATTTATGTTTCCATTTTTTATTTATGTTTCCATTTTTTATTTATGTTTTTCGTCATGGGTTAAGTTATGTTTTTTACTCCTGTATTTTAATATCTATGTAAATATGTGATGTTGTAAAATGAACAAATTTTAAAAATGTGAGATTGTATAATTTAAAGGTGCTGATGTTTCTAATTAGGTGGCGCTACTCTATTTGAACCTCAGAAAGCTTTTGGTAGTAGAATGTACTGTAGCTGCTGTTCATGTCCGAGCATCGAAACACAGATAAAAGAGTCACATGTGAACAAAGAAAAAGCAATATGTCTGCTCTGGTGCAGTATGTCCTGTCACAGGTCAGAAGAACCACAGCTGAACTCATTCAGGGCAGATGGGCTTCTTTATTAGTATTTGAGTGTTTACTGTATTAACATGCAAAACCCTCTTGCCATCTAGGGGTGTATATAGCATCAGAAAAGCATGCTTGTGATAAAGTACTGGGAGCCTATTGGTCACTGTTTGTGACTCGTGTCATAATGAAATATTGGATCCATCCACAGAGAAAAAGATGCAACTAAAGACTGCAGATTTCTGGCAGACATTTTAAGACTCGAGGCATATGGATGACGGGGATACAAAACACAAATAGATCTCAGTGTAACTGGAAAATATGATTATTTTTATGGTTGTCTATTCCAACTCAGTTCTCACTGACTTGTGGCCACACTGTTTGCAGTGTACCAGCACAGAAAAGAGATTAGGAGTTTTTCATAATTTCTCCTCCTTTTTGATTCTAGTATTGTTTTAGTGAATAAATCACAACAACCACAGGCTTGTGTGGCATAAATGGAAAAATGACCTTTAACTTACACCTGCAATATATGGCCAATTTGACTTACTGCCTTCCCCTAATATAGCATTTTCAAATGGGGAAGATTCAAAAGCTCAATATATATGGTTTATCCATTTTTAGCACTGACATTGTCCTCACTAGCTGAATGTTGGCCAAAATATGGTAATTGTTTTACCTATGTGCAAGGGCTCTTCCATAACAGATAATGCGATACATATGACTCATGATTTGATGTACTTGTGTCCCTTGACAAGCCTTCTTGCATGCATGTGGTTCAATCTGACTGTACAACAGCACTGCAGCCTGTTCCATTAACTCATGACTGATCAGGTCCAACTCAATAAGCTAAAATTGGCAGCTTCCGTTTTTTAATCTGGTGTTTTAAGAGATTTTAAGATATTGTGCCCCCAAGATTTAATGATAGAAACCCTCCTGCAGGAGAAAATGTTGCCAAAAAGCAAAACTACTGCCCTCTAGTGTCTGAACTGTGGAGGTACTTGTTTTCCGTCATGCTGATATAAACAACCCTGTATGAACAAAAACGTTTGCTTTTTATATTATTGTAACTGTACAATAAATATATTTAAGAAACAGTTTTAAATAAAAATCAAACCTGTAAAATCTCAAATTGTGGGTTCAGTATCTTTCAGCGACAAAACACTCAAGACAGGTGGTGGTTTGAGCATTTCACATCTTTATTTCTGTATTTTTTAAACAATGTTGTGGCACCCAGGTCTACAGTCTCAAAAACGTGCACAAAAGTCTCTTTCCTGCAAATAAAAAATAAAATAATTGTCTGACTCGAGCAAAGCAAAGAGCAGGAAACTAGTGTTAACTCACAACCCTTTCTTTGTCTGGTTCCAGATCCTCATCACATCTAATAGAGAGTGTAGTCATTGTCCAGGAGTTAATCCCCCTTTGGTAGTTTAAAAAAAAATATTTCATCCATTTAAAACAAATATTCCAACATTTTTTTTAAGTATACATCAGTCTTTACAAAAAAAGCGAGGAGAACCCTCTGCTTCTGAACCCCAGTGCCAAGCCCAAATCCCCCAAAAACATCCCATCCCAGCAAAATATCAACATATGATCTCAGGACGAGGAGAGGGGGGGAAACATGAATGACATGTAGAGGAGATGACATGCGTAGAAATACAATTTAAATTATCTGGAGAACTAATGAGTGTTAAAACTTTTCTCACTATAACCAAATACAAGTTTGTGACAGTGCATTGTATAGCTACGTTTTTTTAACTCATGTTACAAGCACTTCAAATTGAAAAGGTGACAAAGGGGAAGAAAGAATGCTGTGTATAATTAAATGAAGTGTGGACATAAAATGGACAGAAAGACTTTGTGGAACTGGGTGAGAGAAGGGAGGGGCGTGTATATATAAACGGAGAGTAAAACAGTCTATTATTTTTTGTCTTCCTTTGAAAAGAAAAAAGACTGACTGTACACAACTAAATCTATATGCCTATTCAGAGTTTATCAACTCCACTCCTTTGTGATGGCGAGAGAAAAAAAAGGGGGAAGAGAGCGAGGGATTCATTAAAAAAAACTAAAGTCTTATAACAAATAATTAAAACCTCCAACTCGACTCAAAAAAGGGAATTAAAAACCTAGTACGATTCTTCTGACTAAAACCAAAACAAATGAAATAAATAATGAACTGAACTGAGTGGGTCAAATCAGTGTCAGTTGACATGATTTCAAATGACAAAAGAGGCAGCATAATATATAAACTCTTAAGTTGGGTAGTTGCATTGACTGTTTTGTGGTGGCCGATGATATAAAAGTGAGATTTAGTGCAGATGCAGTGTCGTACTAGTTGGCTGCCAGTCCTGTGGCCTCAGAGGAAAGCCTGGAGAGAGAGACACCCGGAGCAGGGGGGGGGGGAAGAGAGAATAAGGCATGCAATCAGACAACATACATTTCATATACTGTACATTACGAGCATAAAATGCTTGATATGATGATTTTTTTTTAATACAAGTTGTATTTAGTGTTCCTATACTAAGAAAAGTTGATTAGTTCTTTGAGATACTTGTTAATGATTACTTCTCTCATCCGACAGCTTTTTAGAGCTAAAACTGATACTTTATGGTTTAATGGACCAATGGTTAAGATAACATGTTTAGAAACACGCTTATTCACGGTCTTGCTGAAAATGGATAAGGTTGATAGCAGGTGGTTAGCTTAGTATAGCATTAAAGCAGCTAGCCTGATTCTTTCAGGGTAAAAATGTAAAATAAATCACTAAACCCAACTTCCAGCACCTCCAATATTCACAATTTAACACATTGTAATCAGTTTGTACAGAGAAACAGTCTTGTCGTCACTGAGGTTGCCAGGCAACCAGCTGAGACTTCAGGAAGTCAGTGCTTTGGCCGAGAAACAGGCTTGCTTCAAAATGCAACTACTCACTATTAAATCCACTATAAAGTGGGTTCTCAAGTGTGGTGTTATCTTAATGTATAGTGAGAATTACAATAACATAGGACTTAATGTAAACATTTACAACAAATCAAGAACTAAAACAAGAATCATGCATTGCGCTGAAGACGTGCAAGAGGAGAGAAATCTATTGAGGTCCGATAATGAGTTTTTATGTGAGAAGCGTAGAGCAACGGCCACAAAGTATTTATGAATTTGGGTCACCCAAATGCACTTTATAAAATTTGCAATGGCAAGTGTACTAGCATAAATGGTGAGTGGAGAGAAAGTGGTAATGATTTGAACACAGGCATTGTCTGACACAACCCTTGTGCAACCACAATGTGTTTTACATTTCCATTTTGTAAGGATTTCACAAACAAGAAAAATACGTTGATTACGGATCTTAAGAGATGCTGTTAGCTCTCGACAGTCAGGTTAGCAGTTTCCAGTCTTAGTGTTAAGCTAAAGAAACGTCTTGCTACATTTTTACTGTACAGACATGAGGGATATTCATCCTTTCACCCAACTGTCAACAAGTTAGCATATTGGCATTTCAACTGTCAACGTTTTTATTTTAACAATAAGCTTAACTGGTTAGATGCGTTTGCATTTATCACATCTACATAAAGATCTAAATAAAGGGTGGTTTGTTGCCTTTGATACCTGAGGGCATATTTACTTGGAATTGACATTGCAATTGCTTCTTACATAAGCTAACAAAAAAAAAAATACACGTTATAACATCCAACAATAGTCACTTAAAATTCACTACAAGAAAACTATTCCAATAAATACAATGTGACATCTTAAAGAGAGCCGCTACCTGAGCAGAGCTTACACAAAGAGAGAAATGCTTCAGTAAAATATTTCACCGCCCATGCTAAGTCATTTAAAAATATAATGCACTCAACATGTCATTTCTTTAGGAGACAGGCTACAGATATTTATTTCATAAATATGGCAGCAACCATCTGTCTGGCTGTTAAATACTAGTGTGTGTGCATTTGTTTCGGTAGTAAGCGTGGCGTGGCACAGCCAGATACAAAAGCGAGTGCAGTTACAGACAACAGAGAGCATCGTCAGCACTTTAGTAGATGACTTGTGCTTCCTTGGTTAGTAAGGGGAGAGCCTTCGCCTTTTAGACTTGGAGCTCAGCTCGGGGGTGATTTTGGGCTCAGCGGGTATTGGGTGAGAGGGGTTACTGACCCCGCTGACAACATGGAGGGCCAGCAGAGGGAGGGGCTTGAGACTGAGGAGACTTGAGACACAGGCAGGAGAGCTGGGGAGCAGGGAATCAGTGGAGGAGGAAGAGGAGGAGGAGGGAGGAGGAGGCGGCCCTGGAGCCAATAAGGACAGAGGGATGGAGGCTGAGGGGGGCACCACACAGGAGGAAGAGGAGGAGGAGGAAGAGATAGCAGCAGAGGAGGTGGTGGTAGTAGTAGTAGTAGTAGTAGAGGTGGAGGGAGAGCACGGGCTGGTCTGCTCAGGGTTCAAGGAGGAGGAGGAGGAGGGAGGAGGTTTAGAGGACTCTACACTGTAGAAAGAGAGACAAGGAGAGAGGGACAACACAGTCGGGATGGGTCACAGGGCAGGCTGGTGATCAATGGGTGGGGGGGGATCGGTAGGAGGAGGGGTGAGGGAGGTGTGTGTGTGGGGGGGGTGTCACTCAGTGATGTGAAACGCCAAACTAAAAGTTTCATTAGAAATAAATGTGTGAATCCAAAAAGAAAAAAGGACATCTCTACTGGTGGATCGATGTTAAGCCAAGTGAAAAAGCACAACAGCAGACTGACAGAGCTGGCAACATCAAAGTGATGGTAAGCAGTGGTTAAAAAGAAATTGTAAAAAAAATAGTGTAAATGAATCATTGGAATTTGAACACAAATCCAACCTAAAAAAGCTAGGACAGCGTATGTGTATTTACTAGGGCTGTCCCGAATACCATTTTTCGGGCTCCGGATATTCGGTAATAATCAGCAGCGAATATTCGGCCTGCACGTGTATTTCGCTGTTTTCCCGGCATTCATTTTGTTATTCTACAGTATTGTTGTTTTTTTGTTATTTCTCAATGTAACCCAATTTGTGTTCTTTGAAATTGAAAAGGATATTGCATTGTGCTTGTTATTTTCGTTGCAGTTGTATACTGTAAGTGTAATTTGTAGGGCTGCCCCCCGATTAGTCGAACAAAGGTTAGTCGGCCAAAGAGTCTTTGGTCGGTCAAGATTTAATTGTTCGTTGGTCGCCGAAAAAAACAACAACAAAAAACACGGAAACAGGAGGTGACAGTCAGTCACTTGTTTGGACGTCAGATAAGCTGATAGTTTTAACCATGTCAGGCGTAAAATCAAGAGCTTGGGATAGCAGTCAGCAGTCAGCTTCACTACTGACACATGGACCTCCAACCAAATGGATGGTTACATGACTGTGACGGCACACTTTATTTCCCAAAAATGGCAATTACATTCATTCGTGTTGGAGACTAAAGGACTGGAGGTGAGCCACACAGCTGCCAACATAGCAGAGCGACTCAGCGAAGTGATGAGGAGTTTGGGATTCCGCCAGACAAGAGGGTCGCTGCGGTACACGACAATGTCGCTAATATGGTGTTGTGCGCTAAACAGCTATCTCAAAACCCGTCCTGGGGTAATGTCCAGGGAATTCGTTGGGAGGGGCACACCTTGCAGTTGTGCATAAACGCGGCTGTTAAATTAGATCCCATCTGCCGAGTGATTGCTGCTGCCAGACGCCTTGTGGGACACTTCAAAAAAAGCGCCAAGGCAACAGCAGCTCTCACTTTGAAACAGAAGCAACAGAATGTGGCTGAACACAAACTGATACAAGATGTGTCCACACGATGGAACTCCACTTATTCGATGCTGGAGCGTCTTCTGGAACAGAGATGTCCGGTTACAGCTGTGCTTTCAGAACCCAGGACCACCCACCGGTCTGACCAAGATCTGGATCTCACAACTGCCCAATGGAGGACAGTGGAGGACATTGTCTCCGTGCTGAGGCCCATGATCTCCCTCACCGAGCTGCTCTCACAAGATATAAACGCATCTCTGTCTGCCACGCTGCCGATGCTCGTCAACATGAAGAGGCGCCATTTGTTGAGTCGTGATGATGACAGCACGACCGTGAAGGCAGTTAAGAAAAAAAAAAATCACAGAGGAAATCGACAAAAGGTGGGAGCTCACAGGGAGTCTGGAGGGCAGCATATATATTCAAGCTGCAGTCCTTGACCCACGGTTCAAGAGCTTGTCATTCCTCGATGCAGAGAAACGGGACGATGCATACACAACGGTGTCGGATCTGGCTGAGTTTATCTCCAGCAGAAGAAGCTACTGCTCAGAGAGAGGACAGCAGCGGCGCAGAGGAAAGTGAGCCTGCACCAAAGAGGCAAAGGGAAAAGCAGCAGGACATATTAATGCTGATGGCCTTTGATGAAGATCAACAGACGGAAGAAGAGAAATTTGGTGGAAAATGAATGAGGAACGCTATCCCAAGCTTGCCAGAGCAGCTAAGCGCATCCACTCCATCCCTTCCACATCCACGCTATCGGAGCGCATATTTTCCAAAGCCGGCTTCATTGTGAGCAAGACACGGAGCTCACTTCTCCCGGACAACACAGACAAACTCGTGTTCTTGTCTCATAATATGAGAAGACTAAGATCGGAGGGAAACCCTGAAAGTCAGGTAGTGGCCTAGCCTAATATAACACCATAGTTTTGTAGTTTATAGTTTTCGTTCGTTCAACTGAAGTGTTTAAGTTAAGTTAAGTTAAGTTAAGTTAAGTTAAGTTAAGTTTTGCGGTATATTTATAATTTTTGTTTGCATTCCGACCTCAGGAAAAAACTGAGTTTTATTTTCATGATGAAAATACTTCTCCGTAGGCCTGTTTACTTTTGCACTGATATTTAAATATTTAAGTTGGCTTGAGCCTATATTTATTTATTCGTTTGTTTATATAATTTATATTTATTTTACATGTTTAAAAGAAACGAAAAATATAGTTTAAATTTAGTTTTTTAACAGAAGACTGTTTTTGTTTGTTTTATAAAGTTATTGTGTTGGTTTTAAAAGTTCATAAGTTGTGTGATGTTTTTATATGGTGTGTTGTGTTGAAATAAATTAACAAAATGTTAAGACAGTCTCCTTGTTGATTTTTCCAACAAATTCAGAATCATAATTTAATTACTTGACGGTTGCGCGAAAAAGGCGGTTTGTCTCTGTGTGCGCTTTCATTCGCGCCACTGGTCGATCAGTGGTCGACCAGTGGCCTTACCTGACGACCAGTGGTCGACCAGGAACATTTTTAGTTGGGGGCAGCCCTAGTAATTTGGCTATTTTGTATGGACATCCTTTTATTTTGAAGGAGAGTTAGTGCTGTTGACAGGAAGTTGTTGTTAACGGAGATATCTACATATAAAGACGGCGAAAGTAAACAATAACGTTTATGGTTAAGTGTTAGCCAGCCAGCCAGCCAGCCAGCCAGCCAGCCAGCCAGCCAGCCCCCCCCCCCCAAAAGAGGCACTAGCTCTTACGTTGATATTGGAGATTTCAAATTAGAAAAAAAACAAAATGGGGAAAACAAACAAAACGAATAACGAAATTGAAACCCGAATAGTACTCCAACGAACGAATATTCGGGTATAGCCCTAGTATTTACATACGATATTAAATAAACTATTTTATCCTCTTGTGGATTAGCATTGTGAGATATAATCAGGTAGATCAAGTAACTGTGGTTTTTCCTTTAACATTTATGGACTACAAATAAGAACGTGGTAAATGATTAGTTAGTCAGTCGCTGGTAATAATTTGACCAATACAAAAATATATTAAAAGATAATGATAGGGTAATTGTGTAATTAAAAAAGAAAAAAAAGAAGCCTGCATGCCTGACACTGCTCAAGGCGGCTGTCCTACTGATGAACTCTGAAGCATGATGTTTTGAGTACCAGAAAGCAGTAGAACTCTTGTTACCCTTTTCCAACTAAATCTACAAAACAGGGATGGACTGTTACTGCGACACTCCCCTGCTCCAAGTATAAAGAAAATAAGCAGTGGCAGTAAATGGAAAGATAAAGTCGGGGCACAGCAGGAAACGCATCCAGCTGAGCAGCTGTTTCCGGCAACTAGGCTAACGTTCGCTACGGTAAACCAAATATCACTTCATCATGTAGATCACTTATGCAAAATATTTATTATTGGTCGTTTAAAAGCTATTTTAGTTGTTGGATACGTCAATTCATATAGTGTGGTCTAAATAGTCTTCTAATGAACATGGAAGGTGTTTGCTGCGAGTACAACTAATGTGTCAACATCTGATTTTTTGTTTAACATAAGTGATGTCAGTCAAAAGTTTTCTAAAAGGAAAAAAAACCTATTTCATAAATTAATGATTAACAATTAACTGATAAAACATTAAACTGGACAACTATTGGTTAAACTAATTGCTTATGATTTGTATCCCTAACACAAACTGAAGTGGCGCAGAAACTCAAAGTAAAACAGGCTAATGTAATGCTTGAACTTAAAAACCTGGGACTGATCGCTAACCTTGTTTGAGCTAGCTATGTTATTGATGATCTTACCTGGCATTGATGAGGTACTCGGCCAGACTGATGCTGGCGGGAGAGCCTGTGATGGTGACCTGGCGGTCAGTCGATCCATCCACTGGATTTGCAATCTTGATCTGGGCGCCTGACATTTGCCTAATCTCGTTGATCTTTGCTCCTTGGCGGCCAATGATGCACCCAATCAGCTGTGGTTAAGAAGAGCAGGAGGGGTAAGTTATAGGAATAATAGAGTCTGAAAACACTATGGAGATGCCTTTGGATAAAGGTAGCAACTTGGATTTATGAAGCTTGAATAAAGCTTTATACACAAAAGGTGGTTATTCACAATTATTCAGTTTCTTTTTTTTAAATTACCATCAAACAGTAAGGTTAGATAAATACAGCTGAATTGTGGATGAGAACAGATGCCCTAACATGAACTGTTAAACATTTATAATGTTGTTTTAGAAGTACTCACATCATTTGGAATGGTCATCTCATGGGAACTGGTTTGAGCAGAAGCATCCATCCCTTTAAGACAAATAAACAAGAACATTTAATCAAAAAGGATTTAACCAAAACAGTCAATCAAAAATGTGCACTCAACATCTATAACATATTAAAGTCATTGTCATCTGTCCCCATTTCCTCTTATTTGGATTGTAGTGTTTTGTGATGCATTGCATGCCAATGGGATAGGTAAAATACCAATATAACACTTTCAACACAATGCAGTCTGATATGACCTTAACACAAAACAAGGTTTAGTCCTATCAATGTTTAAGCCTTGTTGGGCTGCATACCAGTGAATCCTTGGTTACTTTGTGCGATGGGGAAGGGGCTCTGCTGCATCGCCAGCTGGTGAAGTTTGGTGAGCTGTGGAGAGATAGCAGCAGAAGGAGACTGTGAGAGAGAAGGCAGTGAGGGAATGGAAAACACAGGAAGAGGGAAAAACAGAACACAACAAATAACAGTCGGTACGGACAGCTACACTAAGAACAATTAGGAAACTGGTGTGTAAATATCTGATCCTCTGACAAAGCTCTACTCAGGTGTCTGAGCACCACTGTGTTTCATGGCTTATCTATGTGGGGTACCCAAGTGTTATTCCTCCAAAGTGCAGGCTGTATCAGCTGGTAATGCTATCTGGGAGTCTTCAGGGCCAAGTCACAATACATAAGAGAAGCAGCTCTCAATATGCAGGTGTTTCCCTAATCATCACTAATACAAGTCCCAACTATAATCCGACCCCTGACAATTTGCACTGAGCATCACACTTTTCCGGTCATCAGCTCTATAGCGGGAAGGGAGGATTTAAGGAAGAGACAACATGTTTGTGTCACTTAACTGAGATTAATAAAGAACTAATTGCATTAACTCGATTAAATATATATATATATATATACACATACATATATACAGGACTGTCTCAGAAAATTAGAATATTGTGATAAAGTTCTTTATTTTCTGTAATGCAATTAAAAAAACAAAAATGTCATACATTCTGGATTCATTACAAATCAACTGAAATATTGCAAGCCTTTTATTATTTTAATATTGCTGATTATGGCATACAGCTTAAGAAAACTCAAAAATCCTATCTCAAAAAATTAGAATAGTTCCTCAGACCAAGTAAAAAAAAAAGATTTATAACAGCAAAACACAATCAAACATTTGAAAATGTCCATTAATGCACTCAGTACTTGGTTGGGAATCCTTTTGCACGGATCTTCTGCCCGATACACGCTTAAGAAAACTCAAAAATCCCTATCTCAAAAAAAATCAAATTAGAATAGTTCCTCCAGACCAAGTAAAAAAGAAAAAGATTTATAACAGCCCACAAACACAATCAAACATCTATGAAAACTGTCCGATAATGGCACTCAGTACTGGGCCTTGGGACGAATCCTTGTTGCACGCGGATTACTGCCATCAATTGCGGCGTGCATGGAGGTCGCGCCAATCCGCCGCCTGGTGGCATTGCTGAGGTGTCTATGCAATGGAAGGATGAACTATGCACTCCTAGAGCAATGTGACTCTAAAATAGCGGGCACTGAGACACTGTATCTTAAGCATCATGTGTCTGTAATTGCTGCGTCTGGTGTCTTTCAGCGTTACTCCTCTTCACATACTTATCACTTATTCTTCTATAGTGTTGGGTCTGGTGTCTTTCAGCTTCTTCTTCACAATACCCCACATATTCTCTATGGGGTTCAGGTCAGGGGAATTTGCAGGCCAATCGAGGACAGTAATGCCATGGTCAGTACACCAGTTACTGGTGGTTTTGGCACTGTGGGCAGGTGCCAGATCATGCTGGAAAATGAATTCCTCATCTCCATAGAGCTTTTCAGCAGACGGAAGCATGTAGTGCTCTAAAATCTCTTGGTACACAGCTGCATTTACTCTGGGCTTGATGAAACACAGTGGACCAACACCAGCAGCTGACATGGCTCCCCAAACCATCGCTGACTGTGGGAACTTCACACTGGATTTCAAGCAACTTGGATTTTGCTCCTCTCCAGCCTTTCTCCAGACTCTGGCGCCTTGACTTCCAAATGAAATACAAAACTTGCTTTCGTCTGAAAAGAGGACTTTGGACCACTGTGCAACTGTCCAGTGCTTCTTTTCCTTAGCCCAAGTCAGACGCCTCTTCCGTTGTCTTGAGTTCAGAAGTGGCTTGACCATGGGAATACGGCTATTGTAGCCCATTTCCCGGACACGTCTGTGAACAGTGACTTTTGATACCTGGACTCCAGCTTCAGTCCACTGTCTTTGAAGCTCCCCCAAATTCTGGAAGCGACTCTTCTTCACAATGCTGTTAAGGCTGCGGTCATCTCTCTTGGTTGTGCAGCGTTTCCTGCCACATTTCCCCCTTCCAACAGACTTTTTGTGGATGTGCTTTGAAACTGCACTCTGTGAACAGCTTGCTCTTTGAGAAATTTCTTTTTGTGTCTTACCCTCCTGATGGAGGGTGTCAATGACGGTCCTCTGGACAGCAGTCAGATCAGCAGTCTTCCCCATACTTGTGATTTAGTTTACTGAACCAAGCTGAGTGTTTTTCAAGGCTCAGGAAACCCTTGCAGGTGTTTCGAGTTAATTAGACGATTCAAGTGATTCGTTGAACACCCTACTAGTATACTTTTTCATGATATTCTAATTTTTTTAGATAGGATATTTGAGTTTTCTTAAGCTGTATGCCATAATCAGCAATATTAAAATAATAAAAGGCTTGCAATATTTCAGTTGATTTGTAATGAATCCAGAATGTATGACATTTTTGTTTTTTTAATTGCATTACAGAAAATAAAGAACTTTATCACAATATTCTAATTTTCTGAGACAGTCCTGTATATATATATGCGATATGATGCTTTAAATGATATCTGACTTGCTCTGTTGCTAATATTCAGTAACAATTAAGACTAATGATCTTCGGTCTATCACATCAAACAGCCCTGATAAAACTCTAAACGTCAAAGCGGGCAGACGACATGGTAATAATAAAGGGGGAAGAATCCCAACATATTTATCTGGGACAGCCTAATGAGGCACGTAGAACAAGACAGAACACAAGGGAAAGAAAAACAGGAAAGAGTGAGCAGCAGGAACAGATTATAATTCAAGGAACAGTGGAGAGTCAGGACCATTACAGAACAAATGTCAGTTTAATTCCCAACTGAATTCCATTCAAAATATGAACTGTACAAACAGTGCTGCTCCCTTTACGGTTACAAATGATGCAAATAGTAGATACAAAAATGTAATTAGGGTTGCTATAGTTGTATGCTGATAAATGAGAATTGGGTGGGTGGAAGAACATTTTGAAAGACAGCAGTGCTAATTATGGGTAGGAGTGGTCAAAATGTTTACTGCACTTACATCTGGCTGTGGAATCGCATGCTGTCCTTGTACAGCATATGCCTGAAAAAAATTACAAACAAAAAGGTTTCTTAGGCCCCACAGCTGATATTTCTTCTATACAACTCATGAAGACACAAAGACATTATTATTATTATTATTATTATCATCATCATCATCATCATCATCATCATCAAGCCTATTCCAAACCAATATCATTTAAGAATATCAACACATGTCTTGTCCAAAGTTTCTACTTTTTTGGAAAAAGATAAATCTTTGGAGACAAACTAGTGGATTTAAAGAAATCCAGGAGGGATTTAGTTATTTTGTAAAAAAATAATAAGCTTTTAGTCCAACAGGCACCCTCAATGCATTGTGTTTTGGACCAACAATGGTGGGAACTAGGTCACCACACTTCTGAATGCCAATGCTCAAAACAATTAAACAAATTATGAAGACACTAACAATGAAGAATCTTTAACAAACTGCCTCTGGAGAAAATATGTTATGGTCACTAGACGACAACTAAAAAGGCATTACTTTAAAATAGTTAATGTTAGCGTTATTTTCCTCAAATGAGTAACAGAAGCACCTCTGGTTGCAAATGTGTTCTTATCTCAAAAACACAGCCACTCTACATAGTGTGGTTTGGCACAATTACATACACAATTATCAGAATGCATTTCATCACACATCAATATTTCTAAGGTCATAATATAAGTAAAAGTAGTAAAGCAATAAACTCCTTCAAAAATAAACGTAAATACATTTTAAAAAGGTGACACACTGTGTCGTATGTACCTGTCCGCCAGCGAAGATGACAGGGGATCCTGAAGGTTTGGGTCGGTAGGGGATAGTGACCCCCTTTGGGGGAGACTGTAGAGACAAAAAAAAGGTAGATGTGTTATAATATTGGTGCAAAAAACAACTACAAATTCTGTTGATCGGCTTGTGACCTTTCTGGTCCAAACCCAACACCGCAGCCAAAGGTCCAGGGATCATAATGTTTCACATCATTAATTTATAGGTCAACAGCTACCACTTTATTTACTTCATAGCTTTCATGAGTCCACTTACCTCAAGCATGACCACACAGATCTGCTTCACACACTCAATTATCGACTGGGGAGTACCAGCGATGGTAATGGCTCGCTCTGTGGAGTTGGGGAGCATGTCTCCTGCCACTTGTACCTGAGCACCAGTTGACTGAAACACACAATTAGTAAGTAAAATGAGATCAGAAGTCTGTTGTGCATTTGTCTTAAATGTATTTCCTTCGATGGGTAAAAGGTGACAGTCAGCTGATTAGAGCTTCAAAATGTTTGCATTACCTCTCGGATTTCCTTGATCTTGCAGCCACCCTTCCCGATGAGGGAGCCACACTGGCTGGCAGGCACCACAATGCGTAGGGTCACCGGGGGCTTGCTGGTAGCTGTGCTGTTTGTCATTGAGCTGCTTATGTCCTGGGAATAAAGAGAAAGGTTGAACTAGTTTGAGTTTGAGCTAGTTGCAGCTGAACAGTTAATCCATGAGTCAGCAAAAATGTTGACCTACCTCTTCCAGCTTTTCAATGATCATAGAGAATGCTTTAAAGATGGCGGTGGTTGGACCTGCTAAAGTAATGATCCTCTCAGGACAATTGCCCTCAGAGATATTGATGCGAGCCCCGCTCTATAAACAAATAGAAAGCAAGGAATTAAAACACACACACACACGCACACGCGCACGCACACACGCGATCTCACCTCTTCCCTCATCTTCTTCACAGATTCACCTTTCTATAAGCAGAGAACAAAAGTCAGACTCAGTCAGTATCAGTAAATGGAATAAAATAACACATATTCAAATGATAGAAAATATAAATAGCAGTTATATTAAACAGAACCTTACCTTTCCAATAATACTTCCGACTTCCTAAAATAGAAAAAGAGATAACGATTAATTCGGCTCATCTGGAGTCAGACTCATTTTAGCTCTTTTGCTACAGCTTACCAATTTGATCAGGCAAAAAGAATCCTTCAATAACTTAGGTTTTATGGTTTCACAACACTTTGACAAGAAGAACAGGTGTCATTGTAAGAACTGTAAACAGCCTGATCCGCCTTGAATTCTCCAGCTCTCCTTCACAGGCAGTTTGTGTTTGTCCCACGCTTGCTCAAGATGGTGCTGTTGACCAAAGAGAGATCCAGGATGGAGAAGCCCACAGGGCTGTACGGCTGATAATGCCTTGCTAGTGCCTCTTTTAAGATGCGAAAAACTAGCAGAGCTTTCAAAAAGGATATTTTCTGGACTCATGCAATTTTTGAATATACACAGTATAAGCTGACATGTCAGAGATAGACTTTGGGCAGCCACTTCTTGCCTTATTTTAGCATTTGAAACCATAACAACAACAGGCCACTGTGGGACTCAAAGATGCAACACGTGTGTGGCTATACGGCTGTTGTGAAAGCCGGACGGATTAGTTGAAACAGCAAATGGAATGTCGTGGCTCCTGGTTGCTCATTTTTACCAAGTGTATTATGTAGAAAAGGTTGTTCATATGACCATTTTATTTTTCAAACCGCTCTGGCATTATTCAGAGACGAATGAAGGAGAGGATGATGATTTTAACTTAATTCTCAGTAAAATAAGTCAGAAATCTTGATATACAGAAATCATAGCAAAGAGGAACAATTAATATTTTAGGTAAATGGATTCAATTTTGAATACAACAAATTTAGAGATGAGACAATCAAGGTCTCCTTTGTGAAAGCTCAAACACAGGAACATGCCAAAACAGCACTCCACACTATTCTATGTGATACAGGATGCCGTCACCAAGTCAATACCCTTGCTCATCACATCAAAGAGCTGCCCTTTATTCCCCTGGTATCTCACATTTCCATAAATATAACGTCATAGATTACTACAGTGCCGACACCAGCAGCTGATGGGTGGCCTCACCTTGCCATGCATGAGCAGCCTTATGGTAAGGGTGACATTGAGGCCTCCTTCAATCACACCGGAGTCCATAACTGCAACCTGGGGGTCTGTGCAGAACTGGGGACTTTGGTCACCGAGTTCGATCTAAAAAGGGCATAGCAGACAAGCAATGATATACCACATCATGTGCACTTACAGAATTATCTAAGAAGAACAAGAAAAAATATGGATGCAATTTAAGATAAGAGTAAGGAATTTGGTGTGCTTGTAATTTCAGCATTAGCATTCACTACATCAACATGGACACCCATGGTGAGTTAATAGTCCACATCTTAGCTTTGTCTAATATACAATTTTCTGACCCCTTGAGATTTTGTAATACTTTTCAGAATTTCAGATTATGTTGTTGGATAAAGATATCTCATTAAAATGGGGAAATATTTAAATATCAGCATAACACAAAGAATGTAAAGGCCCATTAAGCCCATATATCTGCCCTCAAACTAAAAAATGCAAACACCAGACCATGAAACATACTTAGGCTAAATGTGTAACATTAAACGTCAAATGTGCAAATATGTGATGATTATACCTGGTATTCCATTAGACAAATTGCTCCTTAATAAACCTATTCAAAGAGAAAATGGTAAATCTGTGTCACAGCTCATGCTAATGAAAGTGATGCGTACTATCATTAATCATGATTAAATAGCTTAGGACTCACTTTTACTGTGCCAACTACACGCTGTTCGTTTGCTGCATTTATTTTCAAACATCTGAGGAGTGCTCCGACCCAAATGATCTAACTCAAAACACCAAATATTGAAATTAATCCATCTCCATGCTACTGCTTGGATGCTAACGATGTCTTCATCATTAGCGATGAATCAAGTGTGTCAACAGAAGTGCGATTGATTTACCCCCCACGCTGTAGTTAAACACATTTCGTAATATCCTTAAATAAGTATGTTTACGTGAACAGCAGACATTTAAATGCATACTTAGCATGTGTTGTTTAGGTTAAAGTAAGTCCATTAACTATTCTTGTTAAGTCTGTTAGCCATTTAGCATGCTGGAAAATGAATGGGGCATGCGTGCGCTACTTAGCAAAGCTAGCTAGTTAGCTTAATTAACCAATGTTATTAATAGCTGTCCAAATATCGGACGCTTTCGTTACATGGAAGCTAGTTGCCCTTTGGATCAAAGGCAGGCACCATAGACTAGACAGGAGATTAGACTAACATCAAAATCAAACTCCTCCGTGGTTAGCTAAGCTAGCCGGATCATACGTAGACTGCGTGCTCATCACCGTGCGGCCTGTTAGCATGTTGGAGAAGCAGCCCGTAGCTACTGGGCGCGATTTCTTTCCGCTACTTCAGATCATAACAGAAATATAAGAACAGCACAGTTGAATAAAACGTACCTGATTCGAGTGATGGTACGTGACCGGGGGGAGGGTTGGGGTTGTAAGGGTAGAAGGGGAGAGGTTCGGGTGGGTAGAAACCCGGGGGAGAGTTTAGAAAGGACTCGGGGAAGAGTGATGATGTGAGATCGAGCTCCACTCCTTTGCACAAAGACAACACAATTATAACCTCTGAACTTTCCCCTATCAGCCAACCAAAACCCCCCTCCGCAGTGTGACCTGCAGGTGCCCCAAATCTCCTCTTAAAAAAGTTACAGTTGCACATTTGTCGAACATTATGCATAAGAACAACATAGCATTTCAATTAAAGGATGTCATATAAAAAAATAAGTTATTGTGCACAAAAGAAACGTGTTCTCTGGTCGTCACAACAGTAGGCTCTCTGGTGGGAAATGACTACTTGTCTACGTGTATTTAAACAGTAATGATCACACAGGTGTACGCTTTATGAATGTTTATAAAATGTTATTTAAAACTGCAATAAAGTACTTATTTATAGGGACACTACTGGATGTAAAGTGTATTGCAACTAATAACTCCAATTATTTATTATCTTGAGGAAAACACCCACGTTGATTTTTCCTTTAAAAGTCTTTATTGAGAAGGTTAGTTGAATAACCTTTATATGTAAATACAATTAGTGATGATACAAAGCAATGCAGAATAACGATTTCTGCAGTCATGTGTTGTAGAAGGAAAACAAATCAATAGGCATAAATAAAAAGCTTCAGTATCTATATTATTAATCTTCCTAAAGAAGAAAAAAATACAATATACACAATTTATTTTACAAAATTACAATGTAAGATTTTTTTTTAATATAGCATAACACACTGGTAATAATTGTAATATGTCACACTGGAGCATTTGTCATAAAACACCCATAAACCAAAACAAGATGTAAGACATGATGGAATGCAAGTAAAGCTAAATGCTATGGAAGTGTTCTGTGACGCATCTTTTTTACATTCTATTAAAAGTGTTAATTATGACCTTTGTGTGTTTATTGTTAATAGTCCTTTTGTAAAGTGACATTTCTGTGAAAGCCTTCCCTCAAAGTGGAAGCCTCGGTATTAGTCACTGCTGCTGCTGCTGCTACTGCTGCTACTGCTGCTGGAGGACTGTGGGGAAAGAAAAAGAAAGGTTATGTACGTATTCAAATTTTAATAGCTTTTTAATTATAGCGTTAAGCACAAACAGGAAACGTTTCCCTTTATTTACACTTTATAAAAGAGCATTTTTAAAGATGTCTATTTTTGAATAGGTCCTGAGGTCACTATTTTTAAGCACATTATAAAGCAAATTATTGATTGAATGTTTACAAATAAATATCATATGTGGTCGCAGAATTTGCAAAAAGAGCTGTAGAAAACAAAACTTTATTTTTCAGAACCAATTAGTATAATCGATTGTTTTTTCAATGCTTATACACGCAATCATCATGTTTCATTATCCAATCTAGCAACTGGTTATTGATAGTTTTGTTGTGCCATTGCAATATAATTATTCTCTGTAGTTAAAATTATAATAAATAGCCTATCCCTCATCAAGAATGTTAATTCCAAACAATGTTGTGTCTCTGCAGTTGTATTGCACTTTGCACTTGTTGAGTCATGATTGCTCTTTCTTTGTTTAGTGCAGGACTTCAGATTGACATGACAATGTCCCGGAGGCCCGGGGCTGAGGGGCGTAAGAAAGGTCAAGTTTCATCTTTTTATCTAGTACTGGCAATAATCCTTCACCTACGAGAGGATCCATTCTAAACAGCTTTAAACATAATCTCACCTTGCCGTGTTTGCCCCCTTTATGTGCTTTCTTCATCTTCTTCATCTTCTTCATCTTTTTGTGGCCTTTATGCCCGGCCAGCCCCATTCCCATTCCAGCCATTCCCATTCCAGCCATTCCCCCCGTACCCATGGGATTTAGGCCTCCATGATGATGACCTTTATGGTCACCTTTGTGGTCACCTTTGTGGCCTTTATGGTGACCACCTTTTGGAGAGTGGGGGTATGGACCTGGGTGAACACCCCCAGGAGGGACTGGATATCCACCTGGAGCCATAGGATAAGGATGTTGGCCAGGAGCTCCATAAGGCATCGCCCCTGGATGTACATTTGGCCCCATGGCTGGGTTCATGCCAGCTGGGTATTGTCCTGCTGGGTATTGCCCAGCCGGGTATTGCCCTGCCGGGTATTGCCCAGCCGGGTATTGCCCAGCTGGGTATTGCCCTGCCGGATATGGTCCTGCCGGGTGTTGCCCAGCCGGGTATGCTGGGTGTGCAGGTTGGGGAAATAGTCCCCCTGATGGAGGTGCAGCAGGATAGGCAGGGTTGTAGCCAGGTGGGTAGGCAGGGTTTTGGGGGCCCATCGGAGGGGGAGGACCTAAAAAAAAAGCAAACACACAATATTGCTCAGAACATCTATAATATAAGTTAGGCCTAAGAAAAAAATTGCTTTGATGATGATATGATTTCCTTACCTTGATTTGGCCACATGGTTGTGCTTATTTGATGTGACACACGTCCCAAAAACCCTGAGGAAACAATGGAGAATTAATGCCTTAATACATAATTAATTAAAATGACATTATATGGCTAAAAACGACACTGTCTTTTATAATTTATTTAGAATTTAGGGAAAGATACAATCCATATCAAACATGTCACCACGTTTTTTTCCAAACAATGTGGTTCATTATTTCTAATGATATCATGCTTTGTCAACACACGTTGTATATGGTTTATTTTATTGTGTCATGAGTTTAGGCTTTGCTCTTGATTATGATTTTTTTTCTGTTAAAATACAAATCATTGTTAAAGATAAAGATACACAAATATTCTAATCTATAGACTGCATAGGTCTAATAATACAGTCAAGCAGTAAAACTTAACGGAATTGACTTGTTTTAAACTTTACAACTACCAAGAAAAGTACTTGAATAATACACTATACAGCGTGCTAACATGGATTAGAGTCACTTTCCCACACGACATAAATACACCGAAAACGGGTCATGACCATAGGTCATACGTGCTTAACATAAATTGTGGTCTACAACAACTGCCAGTCATTTCCCAACACCTTCCTCATTTAAGCACGATATGACAAATCAAAGTCTTAATATTCTGATTGTTGTAGTTTATAGTTATTCTGGTCCATAAATGCGACTAAAAATATGCGTTTGTGAATGTCGTGGGTTTACCTTGGAAACTTCCAGCAGATTGTCAGGAATCTTGAGTTCCGGAGTTCTGTATTTGTTCCGCATTGAGCAGCAGAGATGCATCAGGAAGCCACGCCCGTTGTTAAAGGTTACGCACCTTATTTACGTAATGGCAAAAGTCCAACAGGCTATGATAAAAGGCTGATCTACGTGTTTCTGAGCTACAATAGATAATGTTAATGATGTGTCCTCCCAAACATTGTGAGCAGCATTGGTTTTGCCCATGACACACACACCCAGTGGCGGTTCTACGGGGTGGCACGGGGTGGCAGCTGCCACCTCAGAAAAATGCCTTGCCACCCCAGCTGCCACCTCATTTGGCAGCTTTGTTTTGAAAGAAAAGTTGTGGCTCATCGGACATTTATGAGAGAAAAATCATCTAATGTCCAAGTGCAAGTGAAATGCAGCACAAGACGAGCCTTGTAAACCCCTCCCCCCCCTTGGGCGCAGCTTGGAAATATGATTGGGCGGCGATTTAATTTGAAAGGGAGGACAGCGCAAAACGAGAAGCATTTCGGATACAAGTAGGAATGAGGTATTTGCGGTCAGGGTATGGCTGGGGTACGGCCTACAGCCATACCAATAAATGGCTTAGCCCTGCACCCCATGGAAAATTGATTGTTAAAGTAAAGCAAAAAAGTCTGCCAACTCGCAGCGGAGTAAATCACACAGACAGCAGATAGTAAGATTGATTTCAGTAGCCCTTAGTCTGGAAATACCGAAGGACTAAAACGGTTTTGAAAACTTTTGTCACGTAGGATCGTCTTCTCAATAGAACATCTTTGATAATGTCTTCTGGCCAATCAGAATCACGATAACGGCGTGGTGTTTGTTGCAGGAAGTCCGACGGAGAATACTTTTGGCTGTGTACATCCTATATACATCGGTACAACTATAGAGACTCCACGGTTTGAATGATTGAATAGGTGTGTGGCGTGGCTCATTTTGACACTACAGAACCAATAGGGGCTAATCCACCCTTATCCACAATGTACAAGTAATTCACAGCAGCCTCTTCCCTCTCCTCTCTGTGAGGACAGCCAGGTTCAGCTTCAGAAACAAAAGTAAACCAAAAAACTAAAGACATCTCATTTTTTTGTAAATACGTTGTGTAGTTAATATATATTTATTTATTTTCTTCTAAGAAGCACCAGAATGTGTATTTGATGTTAGTATTTCAAAAATCTCCCTGGGGGAGATCCCCTCCAGACCCCCCTGCAGGTGGGTTTTCAATCCTTTCACCCTGTGGGGGAAATGGCAGATTGGCTCCAGGTCGCCCTTTTTATTTACTATGTATTTACTACTAGACAAATGTGCCTTTTATGTCATACAGTTGGATTGAGACAGGGAAATAATTAATACTCACGCGTGCGTTTGCCTGTCAAGGGGAGCGTGTAATGATATTACATTGCAAATCTGACTGAGCCCCACCACTGTATGGGTTTAGCCCTACCATAGATACCGCAACACAAATACTCTAGCGCCGCAACTGTTTGCGGTCTACTATGAACAGAGAAGAGCCTGTCAAGTTTGGCTGTACTCATATTGAATCAAACGCATCATACCAGCTTTAAATTCTTAAAAGTTTTGTGGCGTTTTGGCTGATCAAGATGGGTAATCGCCACATTCAGCTGTGTATAGGCATGCCAACTTGACTGCTCTGCTCAACGATGAGTCGATGAGAATATAAGACTGTTAATGATGATGACCTTGACATGTTAAATATATGTTTCTTCTTGTGGGGGTCCTGCCCCAAAAAAACAGTTTCAAGGTCCCAGATAAAATCAAATCAGACGGTGTGTAAAACTTCACTGCCCCAGCCAAAAAAGTAACACTTTGATTGAACTAGGCCAGTAGTGTAAGGGCTTTCCACTGAATAAGAACTGCAGCGATGTATGGTTAGCTTGAATACAGCTTTTTTAACCCTAACTGATGCAGTTAGTCA